GTTACCTGTACTTTCTCGCACCGTTCATACAGAAAAGAGACAACTCTGAGATGCATTAAAATGCGTAATTAACAACTAGTTCGCTGCAGTGTGTATGTGGCTATTGGGATGCTCTTGTGCTTCTGGAAAACAATTAATTGCAATTTAATGGAAACAAATTCTTTTTTTTGTATTTTTTGACAGAATCAACCCATTGTCCTTAGTAGAAATCATCCTTCATGTTGCAAGACAAATGCCAGGTACAGCTTTGTGTTTCCCATTAGTGTTCGGTGATTCCCATCACAAAGGCTGTAGAGAGTAAACAAAAAAAATACTACTTTATGTTGTAATATTAATAACATCTCTTGTTTTTCAACAGAGCCAATTACAACCATCACCTTTCTTGAGAAAACGAAGGAGAAGGTAGCGAGTTGTTCTCCTGTGTTTGAATTTACAACGTGAGTGACGTGTTGAAATCATTGTTTTTCATTTTACTCAATCAGGTCAAAATCAGTGAAGAGGCCGTCATCCTCTGCAAAACAACAATTGGCAGCCTCAAGCTCGACATCAATGACCTCCCAGCGACAAAGGTCATTTATTTGCATACTTTTCTGTTCTTAAGTTGCAGTCACATTTAGCATTGCATAGGGAATTTTTATGAATTAAATCCAGTCAATAGGATTCTACATGATCTGGAATTTGTCGAAATACAAAATGTTGCTGAAATTTTGACCACACCACTTTTATTTGAGACTGTTATTCATGTAGTCTCATGTATGATATATTTGCAGAAATTAATAGAGGAAGTGGAAGAGATACTGAACAATCTCCCGGGTGTGACATCGGTGCACGGGCGATTTTACGATCTGTCGAGCAAATATTACCGCATCGTTGGGAACCACGCTTTCTACTACAAGGATGCCCTGCGGTACTTGGGATGTGTGGAAGCAAAAGACTTGCCTGGTAAATATTCTGACTGCTGTATGATGTTTACATTTGACAAGATACTTGGGGAAACAGTGTCCTCTAGTGCTGGCCCTACAGAAATCATACACGCATCATTTCAGGTGAAAATATGAAAAAAGCTGATGCAGCGGTTTAATGCTCACTTTATACCACAACAGAAGCAGAGCAGCAAGAAAGAGCTTTCACATTAGGCCTGGCCGGCCTGCTCGGAGAGGGAGTGTACAACTTTGGAGAACTGGTAAGTGTCTGTCGTTGTACCCGTGTTATTTATTTACTGAAATTGTATATGTTAATGTTTTGAATTTGCTATCATTTTTTATATTTTCAGTTTTGATTTTAAATTTTAAGTCAATTTTTATGCTATATGTTTACTTCATTGGCAACTGCTTGTCCTGATAGATTTGTGTGCACAAACAACATTATTGTGATGTCTACAGCTGATGCACCCGGTCCTTGAGTCACTGAGGAACACAGATAAACAGTGGCTCATAGATACACTCTATGCATTTAATGCAGGCAACGTGGAGAAATTCCAAGCCCTGAAGACCGCATGGGGTCAACAGGTGAGCAAATTAATTATTATTATTATTATTATTATTA